TTCAGTTTTAAGATTTGTAATGGTGTTTTTTCATTATACAAAGTTAAGTACTATTATGGTTCTGTACTTTGATTGATGGTTTGTATCGTTTAAATCTTGATGCTGAATTTATTGAATCTCTGTTTAATGTTGAACACAATACAAGTATTAAACATAGTGAACATAATGAATGTTCTGCTTTCTTGTGGCATCAAAGGTTAGGTCACCTGTCTTGTGTGCATCAAAGGGTTTAGGGTCAATAATCCAACATAAAGATTTGAGGCTTCAGTGAAGGTGGAATCTCTCAACCTCAATTGGAAGTTCACTACTTGGGATTGTGTATCAGAATTTTGCATCTTAAACGGAACCCCAAACTAAGAACACTACAAGACTCCAAGCCTACAAAAGCAGTGATACAGCATGAAATACTTTATACACACAGAACACTGAATATACTGTGCCTCTTTTTGATGTTCCTCTCGTTGGGGTGGTTAAAAAAAAATTTTTTTAATTACCTTATCGAGATTTACTCACGGTAAGTAAACGTAGTTTATGTATATTTACTATCTAGCTGAAAACCTCAATCAGTGAGATACTCACTGATGATATTCCATTATAGGTAGAGAAGGACAATTAAATAGAAAAGGTTTAAAATGTGAAATTGATAAGGTTGAATATTCTGTGAAATATATTTAAAATGACAGAATGACAATGTCCAAGTCCATTTGCAAACAAGTTTCTTTGAAAGTCGTACTGGTATTTTGTCGGCGCAATATACACAATGCCAGATACACCCTTCAACATGAAACTGGTTTACCTGAAAGGTCAGTAATCCGTACTCTTCATGGAAATATTTAAATGGTTAGGTAAGTTATTGCCTGAATATTATTGTAACTAGTACCCTATCTTTAATCATTATGATGCATATGCATTAAAGACCGCTGCACATTATTAAATCAAGGCGTTCTATAAGGCAGTTCTAAAGACCCCCTTATCGAAACTGTATGACTGAATGCTATCCGAGGCATCTTCATGTTTGGGATTGCTACGAAGTAAGGAAAAATCCACATGAAATAAAGCTGATGCTAGAACGACCTTAGGTATTTTCATAAAGGATAGCCTGAAAAGTCACAATAAGAGAGCAGGGATTTATGTCCTATACCATAGTAATAGAATGGTATTGAGAATCTGTAATGCCTCGTTTCTTACTTGACAAATAGGCCAAATTAGTGGGACAGTGAACCACGTAGGTGAAGTGCAAAGAATTCAATTGAAAATACCAAACCTCAGATGGATTTATCCATAAATTCTCCTTCTTCGAATAGCTGTTGGTGCCACTTGTTGTATCACTGGTTTACGACAACATGGTTAACAACAAAACAACATTCCACAAATCCCACAAAAATGACTATATAAATGAATGAATCCAGTAAATATTGAAATCCTCACAATGATCAAGTGGCTTTCAACAAAAAAGCATTCACGTCGAGGTCTACAAAGGACAAGACAATGTCCAAGCTATTCTATGAATTATGGTGGTTTGCTCACTGAGCATTTGAAATTGTGATTGAGCATTGATAAGTGATCCATCTCCTTCCAGAAAGCCATATTTATAACTCTGAAACAAGTGGTTTAATGCAAATAAGAAGAAAGGCCAATCAATGAGTGACAATCAAGGTCTGGGATTTTGTCGATGTTGCCGAGGGTCAAAATAAGTTGGTTTATAATTTATTTTAAGACCGAACACGGGACTCTAACGCATACATGAAAAGATAAAGGCCAACTTTCGTTCTAAGTTACACTCAGAAGGATGCATGATTAAAAGAGACCTTTTCCCATTTCCAAAAAAGGACTCTTAAAGGAAATATATGCTTGTGGCTCACTTAAGTATCTAGAGCTCACTCACAAATGATGTAAAAACATTTACGCCTTTCCTTAATGTGACTTAGAGGAGAAGAACATATGGAGAACCCAAAACAAGGGATTGTAGCCACATGGAAAGAAAATTATCGGTGTGTACAGTTAAAGAAGTCATATAAATATGACTGAAGCAAAGCTTCCCGTAATGTATCTTAAGTCAATAATACCATCACTTCATAATGTTTTTATAGAAAACGACTGTGTGACGCGCGTGTATATGAAACAAGACAAGCTCATAATGCTTATCCATATTGTTGAAGACATTCTCTTGCTGCGAATGATGGCATTGTACGATGATTAAAGGGTCCTCTCAAGACTTTGTAATGAAAGAATATGGAGAGAGCATCCTTTATTGAAAGATAGAAAATATCGTGATAGATACAAGGACTGTTGATTGTTCAAAACTTACATTGGATAAGATAAGAGATTTCTAAATGAGAGATGCTCCACAGAAAAGTATCCAATTCAGAAGGAGATAGGTTCAGCAAATCAATGTCCTAAAATAATAAATTGAACGTAATAGAATGGGTCTAATTTCACATATTGCCGTCAGTGGTTGGTAACCTGAATATATTCAACATTACTTCGATCCGGATGAGGTCGCCATAGGAAGAGAGCGATATCCAAGGGTAATCCGATGAACCATTGGAATCTACAAAACGAAAGTACTTAGGTTATTTACAAGCACTAAAGTTGATCATATAGCTTCACTTGTATAGAAAATCCAACGCATCAGAACTGGTGGGATATAACTGCAATCAGACTATCTCTATTTGTAGACTCGACGAAAGTACACACTGGATATTTTCTTTCTCTAAGCCGAAGACAGTATCATAGAAAAGTGAAAGCAATCTGTGTTGCTACTTCCACTAGGAGCCTTGAATTTGTTGGCATAATGTCTTGAGGCTGAGAATTTGGGCATTCTTGAGCCACTGTTCATGGCATTTGGCGCGAACTTTATCTCAGGTCAATCGGCCATCGTCGACAGTAAGCTAGCACCGTTAGAATTACTTGATAATCCGCTAGCTGTCTTTCTTCTCTAAGAATGATAGGTACTCTAAGGGTGCAAAGCACATGATTTAAAGTACCATCTGTGAAAAGAAGAAGTCAAAAAACACAACAGTGTCAATGAGCAAAAATATCAGTAAGATACTGATAATACAGGATCCGCTAACTAAAAGTTTACCGCAAATCTTCATCTGCCGTATGTCTGAAGGATGGGCATTATAGATATATACCGCTTTAGCAGATTAAAACTTGTATATATAAATAATACAATTGTTTTGTCTCATAATATTGTGAACAGCTTGAAATTTCAAAATTTAAAAGAATGTGTTTTGTGCTTGTTTATGATTTGATCAACAGTATAAAGATGTATACAAATAATGGTTTAAAGGCGATATAACAATAAAACATATATTAAATTAAATGTTAATCTGATTGAAATAGTTTTCTCACCTAAAGTTTGTAATAATGAATGGTCTTTATTAATACGATGCAGAGAAAATCAAGTGTTTCACACTGACTTCTTGACCCGCGCATAATATCATCACAATCTTAATTCAATTAAGGTAAACATAAAGAGTCATCAAGAAATCGACCATAGCCAAGTTGGGAATTGTTAATTATGTTACTAATCGTTGTAGGTCCCATGTGATCAAAGGACTGGTTTCTAATTAACGGTGCCAAGATATCGGTTATTAAGGTACTTAAGGATAAGATCCATAGGATTTTAATAGCCTCCTCGCCTGATAAAGATAAAGAAACTCAACAATAATTAGAGTTAACACAAAACAAAATGTACGCTCCTCAAACACTATACGAAAATAGTTTGTTGAAGAGCTCATAAAGAAACGTCCCGCAAGCTGTTGATTATTCTCTGACACCATATAAAGAGCACTTACGGACAAAAGGCCAAGTGACAGAAACGTAGATTGCTGTTATTCAAACTGAGAATCTAATGTCCAAAAGGTAACTCCAATAACATAATCTGGCCGTTTAGAAATCAAGTAACGCTTCCGATTATTTAATCTGTATGTGGCCCATGTGATTAAAGGACTGGTTCTAATTAAGGTGGCCCAAGATGATGGTTATTAGGCTTAATGGATAAGAGCCAGTTAGGGTTTTAATAGCCTTCCTCTGCCTTATAAAAGATAAAGAAATCAACATATTAGAGTTAACACAGAAACAAGAGAGTGTGACGGCTCCTTCAAACACATACGAAAATAGTTTGTTTGAGAGAGCTCATAAAGAAACTCCCGCAGCTGTTGATTATTCTCTGACCATTAAGAGAGCACTTACGGACAAAAGGCCAGAGTGAAGAAACGTAGATTTGCTGTTACAGTGAGAATCGAATTGTCCCAACAAGGTAACCCATAACATAGATCTGCCGTTATGAATCAAGGTACGCTTCCGATTATTGTATATTCTTGTCAAACAAATTCTATGAATAATAGATCTGAGCTATATTAAAGTTTATTCAACAAGTAGAAGAGATACCCATAAGGTTTTCATTCTGGAAACACCATAAACAACTATTTGCATACTATTTAATGAATCTCTTAGAGAAAGAAGGAAGAAGAGGTCCAACAGAATTCAAATATGAATTAGTTGTAGCTTCTTCTCCTTGTTTCTACATTGATTTTGTACCAACTAAAGGGTTCGCCAAATTTGAAGAACAAGACCGTGTCTCGGAGCATTTTGGAATGCAAATGAACTGTGTTTTGGGATGTATGATCTGGATTTTAGAACACTGCAGTGAGAAGTTGCTATGGTAACAATATGTGGGACACCACGCGTGAGCATCTGCTTGTATAGTACTATTTCCCAACACAAATGGGTATCATAATCTCCTCGGATTTCAAAAGCATAGGCCCTGATCATGATGTTATAGATGGAGACATTTGGGTTTTTTATACTTTGAAAATTTTCAGTTGAGTAGCTAAGAGAACCTGAATCCGAAAGGGCTGAAAAGAAGAGAAGACGAGAAATTAAGAAATGTTCTTGTTGGACGTAGTTGGTAGACGTTAAGATTTGGGCATGAATTTGTTTAAGTTGGGTAGAGTTTGGGAGTATCAGTATTGACAAGGAGAGAGAAAACAATAAGAAAGAGTATTTCATTTAAAGTTCCTGAACTTTGGTACTCCATTTTGATCTTGACCTTAACTCAATTTGAATGTTTTGTAATAATTATATCCTAATTTAAAATTAATGTCTAACAATCAATAAACTATACAAATATAGGTCTCACACACTGACACAGGGTTAAACTAACTTAACCCCAAACCTCTACTCAAAACGCACTGTTTTGCCTGAACCCCTCTCCTTTCTTTTCCTCCTCTCTTTCTTCTTCTCCGGGTCGCCTCTTCAGCACTTTCACCCGATCATATTAGAGCTCATGAAGAACCGAATTAGCTGAATCAAAAAGAACAATTAAAGATGTTAATTAATAGGTGAAACTTAAAATAAATAAATAAATAATGCTTTTGTAATTTGGTTTTAATTATCGCTTACTGCAGTGATGTCCCATGGTCTTTTCGAGGATCCTCCATTAGGACCCTGAAATCACATTTAGTATGGCATTATTAATTTAATTCTAAGAGGAGTTCATTATTATTCATCAAAGAATCAGATAGTTGATGAAAATATTACGAAAACAAAGAGCAAGACTAGATAAAGTAAAATTACCCTATGAGGTTTGCAGGGTAGATCCCGCCACTTGTCTCCATTGCCTTCAATAGTTCCTTTTCCAGTAAGAGTCCTACCATCAAGTTTATAAAAACTAGCCATTGCTTTTGGCTATCTACTTCTGGCCATGAATCTGGTCCATCTGGTGGCATTAGACACCTATCAATCTGTTCACAAACAGAAATAGTTACAGCTTTTAAGTGTTGGAAGAGGCGACCTGGAGAAGAAGAAAGAGAAAAGGAAACAAAAGGAGAGGAGTTCAGGCAAAACGATGCGTTAGGTTTGGGGTTGGGTTAGTTTAACCTATATGTCAGTCAACGGGACCTATATTTGCATCGTTTATTGATTTTTAGACATTAATTTTAAATTAGGGTATAATTATTATAAATTTTCAAATTGGAGGGGTGGAAATGGAGCGGATATTTGAGTTTAAACTATCTGTATCTGTATGCGTTTAAAATTATACTAACTGTATTCATTAAAAATCCATTTAAATATCTGCTTAATTATCATATCCTAATTATTTTATTATCCATATTTGTTTAAAACCCATTTAAATTGGGTAGGATACCCGCAAAATTTTAATAATTCGAACCTGATTATATTTAAACATCATTTAAATTAACGATTCAAACCAGTAGTATTTTTTTTCTTGAAACTAAAACCAGTAATCATTAACATCATAATCTTAAGTAAAACTTAAACTATTAGAGCTTGTAGAATCTTCAAATGAAAAAGAAGAAGAAAGTTAAGGTTCTTTCAAGAAACAACCACATATAGATAAAAATTTATTAAACTAATAGCATCATATAAACTAAAAATTTATCCAAATACACAACCACCAATTAAATATCCTTATTTTTAAAAAAAAAAGGTCAAAGGTTCAAATCTTTGAACCAACATTTATATGATAAATATATTATTATTATAGATAAATGGGTAGGGTATCCGCAGGTACCCCCAAGGCTACCCGTTTAACCTAATGGGTAGCAGGTAATGGATATCCATTGACTAAAATCCGTACCTTACCCGAATTTATCACGGGTAGTAATTTTACTATCCATATTCATTTTAAACTCGTTTACAACTACCCAAATCTGTAATAAATGAATGGAATCGGATCAAGTACCCTTAAATACCTGTTCCGCTTTCATCCCTAGTCCTCTAGTGCACTAACTACGGTGGGCCAAACCATGGAAGGACCAATGTGCAACTTTGACATTTGATGAGGACTTTCCCTAAGCTTGTGGAGTATTTGGACAAAAGGAAGACTTTAAGGACTTAAACCAATGACTAAAATGTGAATTTTCACTAATTATGGACTAAAGAGCAATTTGGGCTAATTAAGGACTATAATTATAAATTGAACCCTTAAAAAGGATTAATTGTGGACTGTGGATAATTTAATATACCATCAATCTATTTATTCCAAGTGGAACCCATTTATAATTGATAAGGACCTTAAGGACTAAATTTTAACTTATCCTTAATTAAGATGATGATTAATTAGGATTAGTGATAATTAAGTAGTAGTAATAAATCAATTGGTTAGTAGTAATTAAATTAAGTGGATAGATAGTTAATTGGTGATATCTAGATTAATTAGCTACTTATTTGGTAAATAATACGATTTTATAATTTAGAAAGCTAAAGAAATATTAGGTTTAAAAATCCTCGTAGATCAATTAATTAATTATTGATCCACTTAAGTTCAAGTTAGGAGAATATTAGAAAATAAGTGAAATATGGATTAATTAGGTGGTGATATACCATGTTTAATATTAGGGCCTTGGAAAGTCTTGGAATTTGTGCCTATTAGCGAAGTATGAGTGATTATATGATAATATGCCATGATTATGGATTTAATTGGATGATATGAATTTTTTATGCCATAATATAATATTTTATGAAATAAAATATTCTTTGTGAAATTAATATAGGATTATGCAATTATGTATAGATTATAAGAAAAGAAGTATGATTCTGTGTTTAATATATGATTTATGGATATGAAATTATGATGAAATATTTAGCATAGAAAAATATGATTTTTATGAATAAAGAGAATTTATGAAATAGAATATTTTTCAGACTGTAATAAAATATATCGGTGCAATTATGAGACTGGATGTTTTATTTATGAACACTGATATGGATGAATTATAAAATGAATTAATTATAATAAATATTTTATCTGCCTTGGTCTACTTGGTTGAGTTAGTAGTTGTATAGAGGTATGGCATGCTATAAGAATATTAAAAATATTTTATGTCATTTGGTTACTTAGGCATGGCCACGGGTTCATTTTTAACTGGAACCGAACTGGAATCAAACCGTATTGTAGATGAATCGGAACCGGATCAGAACCGTTGGTTCAAAATTTTAAACCGAAACGGGCGGTTCAAGGGCCGGTTAAGGTTCTTGTGAATGTTAAATCCGGCCCAGAATCGGTGGTTCCGATCCCGTTCGAACAAAAAATTTTCTATTTTTATTTTCAAAATGACAATCACTTAACCTATTTTATACATCTCTAGAAGTCTCAATAATATTTTACTACATGATATACTTTACTTAAGATTTTTTTTTTTCAAAATACACTTTATTTTAAAAGTTAAAAATCTAAAAAGTAAAATGGTAAAAAGAGAGAGAAATATTTAGTTTAAACTTATATTATTTTTAACTTTTTTTTACCCTTTTAAATTGTTTACTAAGTTTAAAATTACATTCTTTTGAAGTATTTTTATCTTAATTATGAATACATTTATAAACCAAAATATAATGATAATATTATTTGCTTATTTTGTAAATATATGAGTATGAACATTCTAAAATTTATTTAAAATAAAATTTATCAATATTTTTTAAACTTATATTAATATTTTTAAAAGAAAGATGTAATGTTAGACCGATTTAAAAAAAATATATATCGCCGGAAACCGTGATTGGAGCCGTCGGTTTATCGGAACAGGCCGGAACCGGAATCGGCGGTTCAACGGCTAGTTTAGGTTCAACATTTTAAAAATTTTCAACAATCGGTTCCGTGAACCTGAATTGGCAGTTCAATGAACCGACCATGCCTAGGCTACTCATCATTATATTTTACACACTAATACTCTCATGATATATACATTTTATTTTTGTAAGTTAGTGTTAATAAACTAGAATTACTAATTTACTCTCAATAAAATAATAATCTAATAACTAAAATCACTAATTTGCTGCTTAAAACATTAATTTACTTTCAATAAAATAAAAGGTGAATTTACACAATTGTTGTCACAGTATACATAACCAAAACTCTAAAAGAAAAGACATTATGTAAAACTCAATAAATAATAATAATAATAATAATAATAATAATAATAATAATAACAACAACAATAATTATAATAATAATAAAATTTTTAGAAACCTACCAATAAAATGAATCGATAAAACATATAATTAGACACGAACCTTTAAAACATATAAATAAGAGGAGATTATTCTAAGACCAGAGTGGTAACCCAGGCAATGAGGAAAGAAGCAATCTAAAACTTATTGTCCTTTGAGTAATTACTTAGCTTCCATTTTTTTTCAATTGCACAACAAAGAACTCTAATTCAAGAGATTTTACCCGGAGTTTTTTTTTTTTTATTAGGAGATCAGAAGAAGTGAAGCTAATTAGTTTGTCAAACCTGCAACTCTTTGGTTTGTTTTTATTATTTTTATTGTTTCTCACTTACCATTTTTCATAGCTATTCTAAACCTGGTTTTGTCGATGAAAGAGAAAAAAAAAAACATAGATATGTCCGTTCAATTTCCATGGGATTGGTTTTTACTTTTTAACCGGTTAATAGAGGGGTAAAATAGTAAGATTACTATTTTTATAAATTTATTATTCTACCATTCACAAATAATGCTCTAGCAGTAACACTACTTTTTTTTTTAAGAAACTTTAATGACAAATTTCCACACCTCGTTTAATGCATTTTTAACAACTTAATTAAACAAAATAGTCGAGCTCCTTTTGAGAATGCTTAATTAAGTATAAAGAAGGTAAAACATTTTAATGAGTTTAATTTTTAAGTAATACAATTCCTTTAGATTAATAATGGAATACCATATAAGAGGCTAGAATAAGTATGTTAAGTTATTTCACTCTTTATGTTAAAGTATATTTGTGATATCTCGACTGCAGGATACAGAAATGAATCGAATCATATATCGAAAAGGGAGAAACTAATCAGCAGATGCGCCTTTTAGTGAAATACCTTAGAGAGTTGGAAGAACTCCAAGGTTAAGCGTGCTTACTTGACAGAAATCCTAAAATTGGTGACCACCTGAGAAGTTCACCATTTCACCTGCGGGACAAAACCGTGCGAATCCTGCCAATCCAGTATCGGATTGATTCGGCTTGATCCAAAGCGAACAATTTCTCCAGTGGTTGGAGTCGGGCGCGACAATATTGAATAATAATAATATAACTTTGCTAATATAAAGTCTATTGATTTTCCTAGAATTTAATCCAAATATAATCAGTTGTATAAAGTTAAGAATACAAAAATTCTATACAATTTTATAAAATTCATTTAATCACTTGTGATTTATCATGTTGACGGTCATGCCCTTGACATAAATTTCTAACACTATGAACCTACTCCAGTGATTAGGATCGCGTCGAAGGCTCGACCTTTTGGGGATAATGTTTAACATAGTCGTTCCTTGGTTCGAAAAGAATTTGTCTTCATCTAATAATTAAATGGGAAGTGAGAGGATACACTTACGAGTAAAAGAAAAAAATTGCTTTTAAGAATTTCCAATATGACCAAATGGAAAATAAAATGACATGCACAATCCAATTTTATTGATAATTGCCAAAAGAAATGTTTACTTCAAACTTCACCCTATAAAGTAAACACTATGACAATTATTATTATTATTATTATTATTATTATGAATTGGCATCAGCGATAACAACAACAAATTTTCGGCAGAGCAGGGTGGGAAGCAGCTCGACATTGGCCAGATGTATACCCTCTCTTAATGCACTCCGCAGGGCATTGAGGATCCCAAGAGGCACCCAAGCATCTCGCAATGCAGGAAGGATCAACAGTATCTACTTGAATATTTTCTGTATATAAATAAATAAACAAAAAATATCATAATTTTATTTTTTTTATTCCTATAATCATTAAATTTGAAAAGATTAAATTCATTTGGACCAATAGAATTTAAACATTTTATAACTTTGTCAGATTCCTTTATTTCATTGTATAAAAAAAATCAAGACTTATAAAATTAATA